AGGCGGGAGGGAGGGGGAAGGAGGCCTCTTAGTATTCGTAGGAATTCGCATCGTAAAGGAGGGAATCGATCGGAGGGAAGTCTCTGGGAAGACTCGACTTACCGATCAGCCTGGAAACCTTGCCACGAACTTTGGCCGCCTCGATCAGATTCTCCCATCTCTTTTTCTTCGAGCTTCCTCTTATCCTACGGCTCTGCCTGCTCGTCCCGAGGCCTGGCACGCTGTTCGTGCTCGTGTGGTGCGGGCTCTTCTTGGGCGTCGTACCCGGCCCGAATATACCGCTCAACGTCGAGCCGAACAGCTCGTGCGAGTTCTCCTGTTGCGCTTGCTGCAACGAAGCTGTGAACTCGTCGACCGGGGGAAGGGAGCCGCTTCCGCTCGGTTGAGGGGCGATGTTGAAACCTTTCATCAGCCGCCGCTCCTTCTGACGATTCTTCTTACCCCCCGCACCTATGGACAGCTCTTTAAGGCTACCGTCTATGGGGCAGAGAGAAAAACCAAGGAGCTACTCTAAAGCAGACCACTACTACTACTACTAAAAAAAAGAAACGAAAAAAACGCAAACTTGCGGCGTACCGAGATCGAACGATTCGAATTCCGGCCGCCCGAGTTCTCGTTAACGTCGAGCCAGGTAACCAACTACGAAACAATATTCGCGCTAGACGATCCTTGATCGCATTAATTATTCCACCGGAGTTGGTCGAATGATTAATAGCGTTCCGGTGGTAACGAACTTGCGAACTTTCATTTGGGATGAGGCTCGCGACCTCCTTCCCCTTAACGTCGTATTCCTGTCACGACGCGAGGATTCCACCTTATAAAACTCGACTCCGCTTTATGCATTTACGAACGAGCAACTACCGTTAAGAACGTTGCAGGTTAGATAAGTAACGGAGGAGGCGGAGGGAAAGAAGAAGGGGGATTTATCGAATTTATTCGGTTTTCATCGAGTTGCTCACCGGTTCCGGTGCCGCTGGCCGTCGAGGTGTTCATCCCGGAATTCTTCAAGATCTCGATCAATTCGCAACGAAGGGCGCTGATGTCCTGTTTGATCTCGTTCACGTCGTCCTCCGTCACCCCCTCGCTCTCCGCCTTCCTTTGCTCGACCGTCACGTACCTCCTCACCAAATTTCTCATGATGCTTTGATACCTGAAGTCCCTCTCCGACGCCTGCTTCACCTTCCTCTGTCGGAAATTAATCGGAGGATTAACGTTGTTCGCATCATTCGAGTCGAACATTCGGAATTACGTCTCACCCTGATCGTCCTCATGTGCTCCTTCTTGGCCGCTCTGCTGTGTCCGCACAGTTTCCGGTACAGCCATTGCCCCATGTACCAGACGCTCTTCGGGGTCGGGATGATGTTGAACGGGGGTGGCACCGTGCCACCCTCCTCGAAGTAGCTAATCCAAAGCTTGCTCCTGGCGAACTTCCACTCGATGTCGGCGCGTTCCTTTTTTTTTTTGGGGGTGGAGGAGGATCGAAGAAAGAAAGAAAGAAAGAAAGAAAGAAAGGAGAATTGTGACAATCGTGAGATAATAGATTAATAAATATAATAACACTCACGGAGATCAATTGATAGGAATGGTTCATCATGGCGATCAATAGATTCAGTAAAACGACGATGTTGATCACCGAGTACGTGCCGAACATCAGCATACCCCAGAACCTGGTGAACGCTTTGATACCGTCCAATTCGAAGCTCTCGAGATCGACCAGGCCGAAAACGGCCCAGAACAGGGTTTGGGTGGTTTCGAACAAGCTGGTGCCAAGAAAATGGTTCAATTTTTATAAAATTCGTCACTGATTTATTTATTTACGTCTCGTTCATCAGACTTGTACGTTTTTTCAACGTTTCAGAAAAACTTGCAAGCATTTCGATAAATCGATACGAGTGTTAAAGAATCGCGGGAAGAGCGAACGTACTTTGCAAATCGACGCCAAACGATGCAAGCGTTCGAATCGGTGGTCACGCTGGCGTTAGGGGCGTACGACATGGCGGTCGGGCACCTCTTCTTCTCCATATCCGCGTAATACCACAACAACTGGTTCAAACCTGGATCAACGACGAAAGGAGGATCAATTTCCTTCTCGAGATTCTTTTTTCCCCTCTTTTCTCTTCAAACGAACCCGAATTTGAATTGAAAAAAGAAGAAAAAAGAAAGAAAAGGCAAAGATTTACCGCACGAGAACGCGAACAGCACCAGCACGTAGAGGAAGAAGAACTTCATGATGTCCATCACCATTCTGGACAGGGAGACTTGCAGGGGGCCGAGATGAGGATTTACGGAGAAAATGTAGACGAGTTTCAGGGAGCTGGAAGAGAGTAGATCGATAATAGTCGCCCGTTTGATCGTACGCGCGCGTAAAAAGGGGGAATGGAGAGGGTGGGATTGAAATTTATGTCGAAAGAGCGATCTCCCTAATCGCATCTCGCGGATTTTTCACGAGGCGTCGCGCAAAAGGACGCCTCCAAAAGCGCTTCGCGATTACATTTTTTTTTTTTTTTTTTTCCCCTCTTTCCTTCTTTTACACCTTTTTGCAAAATTAACAGGGAGGAGGGTAAAAAGCGAATTTGGAACTCGAAGCGAGATAGACCTGAATATGTTGGCGGCGGAGAAGAGCCCCTCTGATATGAGCATCGGGTCCCACGTGTCCCACTGTTCGCGTTGTAGCTCGTTCTCCGATCCCGATTTCTCGATCTCCCACTTGACCCTGTAGTAGGCGACCACCCTTAGAGCGGCGGTGGCCACGTACAAGGAGTTGGTTACGAAGTCGATCACGTTCCACATGTCGTTCACGTACTCCTCGAGGCCGACGTCCCACAGCTGCTTCACCTCGGACCAAATAAGGCCCGATACCCACGCCAGGATGAACCTGCGAAACGTTAAATTCGAAAAGAGAGAGATACACTCGGTTCACGAGTTATCGTTATCCCCCCCCTCCCCTGATTTTCAAACAAATTGGCCGCCCTCGGGGAAATATAGCGAGAATAGTGGTGCTCCCAGTGATGCCTCGAGACGCGGTGTCGTCGACAGGATATTTATTTTCGAGAGAAGCGTTTCTCGAGAGGAGAGAGAGAGAGAGAGAGAGAGGAAGAAGATTTTATTTCGATTGAGGAACTCGAGGTGGATTTTAACTGGAAAATATCGTCGAATGGTTGCATTAGGGAAACCTTTTCTTAGGAAAAATAACATCTTCCCTTCTCCTTCTTGCAACCCTTTTATTCGAGAAGGACGAGACGAGAGGGTGGTTTAAAAATATCCTCTTACCATTCGATGATGGTAGGCGCGGCTCCTCTTTTCGTCGGCACTGTCTCCTGCTCTACCACGTCTCTGCCCATCCAATTTCCAATCACGCTCTCTATCCTCTGACTAGCCAGAATCAACATGACTGCGGATAAACGTGTAAACCTTCGTGTTATTTCTCCAATTATTTTCAACTTCGCGTCGTCGCGAGCATCCGTACGCAACAAGATTGATTCGAAAAAAAACGCGATGGCGGTGGGGGAGGCAGCGATTGTGCAACGTTCGATCCGGATTTAGATTCATTTGCCCGACCGGAAGAACATTACGGGTGTTTCGGGTGGCGTAACCGCACACAGAGGTACGGGTTTAACTCGTTCCCCCAATAATCGTCGCTGAAATTTTCCTTCCAAAATCCCACCGCGACTCCAAATATCGTTAGTCTAACTTCGAGGTCAATTTATGCCTTTCACGAAACCTTGCTCCTTGTAACTCTCTCTACCACCGCCGTCTTCCCAATCCTATTGTACGAGCTCGAAAGTTTCCAATCGCTCGAATATTCTGTCTTTGTTAAAAAAAAAAAGAAAAAAAAATGTACGAATAACGGTTTAGAAACGTTACGGTTCAACGATAGGGTAATAGTTCCGGTAACGAGGAATTTCGACGGTATAATCCGATGGAAATTTCGATTTCAGGGTGTTGGTTTATCGCGAACGGTGGTGGTCGATGCCTCAAATTTAGAGCATTACCGCACTGCTGCTATTATTGGTGGTGAGAGGTATTCGCGAGCCGCGGGAGGTATTTGTAAACTGTTTAGAAGCCGGTGTTTGATTCGCTCACGTGCCGAAAGGTAAAACACGAGAGACGTGAAAGAAACTAGGTCGGGGATAAACTTTCGTCTTAAC